CCCTCACCTCCCCTGCACCCTCATGCGGCCCGGCTATGGCCGCCAGTGCCCTGCACGCAGGCAGCGCCCTACCGCCTAGCGCTGGCCTGCCCTGTCTTAGCGCAGAGCTGCTCTGCATAGCGCTGCACACTTGCATCTGCACAGCGTGCCCGCATATGCCAGCATTGGCCAAGATCCCCGCTGCCTCGCCCTGCTTGCCTATATGCYAGTGCAGCGTGTGGGCGGCCTCCCTTCAGCCTGTGACCGGGGCCCAGAGGCTGAAGCCAACTCGATACAGTTGGGCCCCGGGGCAATGCAGTTGCGCCTCCTTCATCAAGGCCTGCGGCCAGATTCAGACAGTGGGCCGATTTCCCTTTGGCATTTTCGGCCTCTCTACCCAGCATGCATTGTCGGCCTCACGTTCGAGTGCCCAGGGCCTAACTAACTCAGAGGCCCTGGGCATTTCAGCATTTGCTGAAATCCGAGACTCGGTGCACTCCAACCAACTGGCGTGCTGCAACTGTATAGACCCCACTTCGTGAAATGTTGGCACAGAGGGCTCTTGTTGATTTGCTGGCCCGCCTTCACTTAGGGCGGGCACTAGGCTTGCTGGGGCCTTAGCCCAGAACATGTACATCATGGCAAGGCCCCTACTTGAGGGCTCAATCCTCACATTCCATCCCCCTTAGCTTCGAAAGTCCGTTGAGATGCTTACTTCGCAGGTGCCTTCCCTTTTAACTTTCGTTCATAGTCTGCCACCACCTGAGGAGCTGTTTCCATCAGTTCCTCCCGGGTAAACCACCGATCTTCTTTAGGATCCGTATGATGCCTGAATTTGATCCGGTACTCCCTCTTGGGTTTAGGAGGTCTTCCTCGACCCAGCGGCTTCGGAACAGGCATATCCCTGTGATCCACAATGTCGTCGATGTCGACTTGTCCATCCATGGTTGGGGGCAGCATCGATCTCCTGGAAGGGAATTGATCAGTCTCAGCGAAAGGTGCAAGGTTTGAGGCATAAAAGACTGGGTGAGTGCGTAGATGACCAGGGACACGAATGACGTACGTAGGACCATCCATTTCATCTCCCACTACATCCAAGACTTCCCAAGGACCAAAGTACTGGGGCATTAGTTTGCGAGATATTCTGAATTCCTGTCCTAACTCACTAGCCTTGACCCAGACACGTTCCCCTACCTGAAATGTGGACTGCCTGCGATGTTGATTCTCATAAGCAATCATGGCTTGCTGAGCCTTCTTCATATGTTCAACAGCCTCTTGCAGCAACTTCTCATATTGCACACCGTATTCAAGTGTGCCTGGAGTTGCAGCAGGTCGGTTTTCAGGTAGGAGGAAGTCTAATGCTGATCTAGGCTTCCATCCTAAGTGCAGCTGGTTAGGACTGACGTCGGTACTGCTATGTATAGCGTTGTTGTACAGACTGGTGATGAGAGGTAACTGCTCATCCCAGTCATCCTGGTTGGGCTTGATGTAATGCCTCAGCAAGTGCTGTACAACTCTATTCATTTGTTCGGCTTGTCCGTTGGCTTCGGGATGATTCCGTGAAGTCATTTGAAGTTGACTGCCCATCTGTTCCGCAGTCTTCTTCCACAGCTCACTTGTAAATCGGACGTCTCGGTCACTAATGATGGTCTTTGGTAAACCAAAGTCCCTTACCCAGTTGTCCTTGAACAACTTGATGGCGTATTCTGTCCTGGCTGTCTCTAGCATTGGTATTAGTCTAGCGTACTTGGTGAATCGGTCAATGATGACGAAGATGTGCCTCTTACCACTCTTGCTGGTCACAGGAGTGTCCATGAAATCCATGGAAACACTCAATTCTGGACCATCACGAATAGGTAACGGCTTCAATAACCCAAGTGGTGCTTGAGTTCGCGGCTTGTCCCGCTGACGGACCTGGCAGGTCTCAACATACTTCTTCGCGTCATCTAACATTCTGGGCCACCAAAATCGTTGTACTAAGTTAGCACTCGACTTCTTGTAGCCAAAGTGCCCAGTTGCGTCATGACATTCTCCTAAAAATAAACTACGCAACTGTTCACTAGATGGAACTACCAATCTCTTTACTCCGGCCTTATCAAGATAGATTAGCCCATCCACCATCACAAACTCACTTTTTGTGGCCTTGTCTTTTGCCTTAAGTTTGCGGATGATGTCCATCGTGACAGGGTCTTCCTGATAGGCTCCCACCAATGATTGAGTCACTTCGTTAGATACGCCAAATTCAGAAACTAGCGCACCTAGGTGGTCTGCTCTACGGGATAGCGCGTCTGCAACCTTGTTATACTCTCCCTTCAGGTACTCAAGCTTAAAGTCATATTGGTCTATGACATCAATCCACCGCTTGAGTGCATCAGAAAGAGCCGGTTGAGTCTTGATCCATTTGAGGGTCTGATGATCAGTCCTCAGATAGAAGAACCTTCCTAGAAGGAAGTGTCTCCAATGGACAAGTGCCTTGTAGAGAGCATAGAGTTCCCTTTCGTAGGTGGACTTAGCCAACTTCTTCGATGGCATCTTCTTACTCATGTACTCAATCGGTCTCAACTTTTTTCCATCCTGTTGAGCCAGCACTGCACCAATGCCGTATTGGCTTGCGTCAGTGGTCACTATGAATGGCTTTTGCGGATCGGAAACCATGAGAACTTCATGATTCATGAGTGCATGCTTCAATCTCTTAAAAGCACCCTCTCACTCATCACTCACGTCCCATGGTGTGTCAAGTCGAGTTAGATCAGTCAAAGGAGAGGCGACTGTAGAATAGTTCTTGACGAAGTTCCTATAGTAGCCGCACATTCCTAAGAATGATTTGACCTCAGTGACTATCTGAGGTCGTGGCCAGTCTCGAATACTAGCCACCTTCGCATCTTCCGGCCTAATTCCCTCCGCGGATACTTCATGACCCAAGTATAGTATCTTAGTGCGGCCAAACTCGCACTTCTCTAAGTTGACCTTATACTTGTGTTGTCGCAGGAGTGAGAGAACTGTCTCAACATGCTGTGCGTGCTCCTCGACAGACTTACTAAAGATCAGAATGTCGTCTAAGTAGACCACGACAAACTTATTTAAATGGTCATGGAAGATCCGATTCATAGCGTGCTGGAACGTACCCGGCTCATTACATAGACCAAATAGCATCACTACAAACTCATACATACCATAACGAGTCTGAAAAGCTGTCTTGTGTTGATCCTCAGGTCTTATTGCGATCTGGTGATATCCGGATTTCAAGTCTATCTTTGTATAGTACTTGCATCCCTGCACCCTATCCAGTAGGTCGTCTATGTGAGGTAGAGGCTCTGCGTTTTTCACCGTGATGGCATTGAGGCCCCTATAATCAATGCACATCCTCAAAGTACCCCCTTTCTTCGGTACGAATAGAACGGGTGATCCGTAAGGGGAAGTACTAGGCCGAATCCAACCCTTCTCTATCAGTTCCTTGAGTTGCTTCCGAAGTTCATCTAACTCGGCAGGGGTCATCCTATAGATCCTTCCCTTTGGGGTCTTACTTCCTGGAATGATTTCTATAGCATGGACGACTTCCCTATCAACAACTCCTGTGGGCTCCTCGAACAGATCGGGGAACTTAGCAACGACGCGTTCTATCTCAGGGGGTGTTTTAACGGCCTTCCCCTTCTCAGAGACGTAAACGAGGTACATACCTTTCTCTTCGTTTTGCTTGTAGTAATTATAGAACGCTGATGCACACAAGCAGCCATAGGTATCTACAATGCTGCTGGCCTTGAACTTAGTCAATCTGACAGTTCGGCCATCGGGCAACTTATGCTTAAGCACCTTCTTATCCCAATCGAACTGGGGCTTAGCAACTTCGAGGTAGWACATGCCTAACAACATTTCGAATGGCAGGTCTTCGCTAACCAAGAACGAGATCTTATGGTTAAGCTTTCCTCCTCCATAGGAGAAGGTACAGACTACGTCCTTGATGTAGTCTGTGACAATCATGCGCTCTTTGTCGGCCAAAGTAGATGCTACTGGTCTACTAAGGTGTCGTACCCGGTCCTGTAGGTGCAGCCTTTCCAAACAATCGCGACTTATGTAATTTCGCGTGAATCCGTTGTCTATGAAGGCTCCACATTTGCGGCCTCCTACATCCACTTCCACCAGGAAATGTTCCCCTGTAGGACCCTTCTTTAGCGCCACCCAAGACTCGCGAGGGTCCTTGTTTGACCTCTCGCCTTCTAAGTCTTCTAAGGCCTCAGACACATCTAACGTACAAAGCACAATTTGGTCTAGTTGTGTCTGCGGGGTGACTAAGGAGTCATTAACTTCGGCCTTGTCATGAAGTGAGGAGGGTATCAATCCCACTTCATCTTAAGTAGAAGCCCCTACTACTTCCATTGGCCCTACGTGTTTCCCGAGCTAGAAGCCTGGGAATAGGTTGTCCCTACTTTTGGAGCAACCTTTTGCGTAACCTTAGCGTTCTGACACTTCCACTGCGTGTGTCCGTATTCTCCGCAATTGATGCAAGCGCCACGCATTCGGCGGTCACGCCACACGTCTCGATCAAGACCTGCCTTTACCCACTCAGACTGTTTGGTCTGATTGGAGGCGGCCTTCCCTTGACTCCTAGGTTGGCCCTTCCCTCGGCCACCTGCCTTAGTCTTTACTACCGCGGCAAGGGTGCTACCCTCAGCTACCTCCTCGCCGTCATACTCTGAGTAGTCCATCAGATCAGAGAGCTCATCAATCTCAGTTTGAGTCCCATCAGACTCAACCATCATCAACTTCGCCCCTTTCTTCTTCCACTCCTGAGGACTCTTCTTCTTTTTTGAGTCATTCCCTGAGGTGGGTTAAGCATTGCCTAGCGTGGCCTCTAAGTCTAAGGCTTCCTAGACAATGTCTCAAATGAGTGGTACTCAGTGCGTGCCTCACTGGCTAGTAAGTTCCTCATGTTCTCAGGTAGACATCTAATAAACGTGGTTAAGAGGAACTGGTCACTGTAGTTAATGCCTGGGACGAGGATCAGGCTTTCGACGGTAGTCGTAAGCTCCCTAACTGACCTGAACTTGCATTGGTCCAGTTTATTAATGGCATCAGTGGCCCTTTGAGCCTCCTGTGGGTTATGCCATCGAGCTTCTACCATCTCCATGAATTGGTCTAAAGTCAAGAACTTAGCCCAATCCGCCATGCATTGCCCGTACCCGGCCTTCGCAACTACTCCATCTAACCATTTGGCTGCCTTACCCTCTAGGTAAGACGCTGCAGTTACCGCTTCATCCTCACGCAAGGTCCTTTTGGCCTTCACCCAAACCGGGATTGTCCTCAACCATGTGTTGAGTTTTTCGTCCTTTCTCTCGCCTGAGAAGGCAAGAGGCGGTTTCATTGGGGTCTTGGGATACCATTGACATTGCGACTGTCCAGTTGGCTGAACAGGTTGTTGTGGTGATGCAGCAATCACCACTAGACCCGAAGAAGGAGATGCAACAGTCTGTGCTGCTGCTGCAGATGTGTCACTTGGCTGTGTGTCAGCTTGTACGGCAAAGGGGCCTGACATCGCCGTTAATGGCAACGGCGATTGAGCTGGTGCCCGAAATCCTGGCTTTGTCAATGCATCCAGGATCTGGTCCAAAGTGCTTTGCATGAAGTCCATCCTGCTGTCTACGTGCGCATGCAGTGACAACATGTTGTCCCTCAACACTTTCAGGGTGTCAGACAAACTCGATTCGTCGAATGCCTCTAACGCAGCCTTGTCAGACTCTAACGTATCAAGTCTGGTTGCTCTATTTTTTATCTCTTTTTCTCTATCGGTTGCTTTCTTCAGATCCTCCTCTAACTGCTGGCGGAGCCTTTCGACCTGCTGGATCTCTCTGAGCTCCCTCTCACATGGAGTCAACGGGCTGAACTGCGAGCCCGCCATTTGACTAGAAAACTGTCTAGACCCTGTTGAACCGGAAGTGCCCGAGGAACTCGTGGAACTTAGTGGCATTCCCAACTGAGGCCCACAAGTCCCTGACGAGGACGCAGACGATGACGCAGCAGAGCTGGTACCATTAGCCATTGCTGCTGCTCTGGCTGCTGTTGCCCGCTCTCTTGCTACTCTGTTTGCTTCCTGTAGTCCTGCTGCTAGAGCACGGGCTCTACGTTCGGCACGAAGCCGTCTTTCTTCTCCCTCGTCCAAGGTCCTGAACACGTGCGGAACCCTTAATGCTTCCAAACGTGTAAGTTTCCTATTGTCAACTCTATCATCAGCAGGATCTGATCCACTCATTAGTTAGGCAGGTAGTTTCTGGACTAGAATCCCCTAGTGGAATCCTACCACAGCATGTATCTGACCGGCACCTAATTTTCTAACAATAGTTGTGTCCGGCGAGTATCCTACTATACCGAATCAAGTGGCATGTCTACAACATTCGCACAGATTGTCTACATAGTCTAGATGCAACCTGAATGGTTCACTTACAGCAACATTAGTTAGAACTGGCTATGGTAGCATACTACAGTCCTACACTAATTCTGTCTGTGAAGTTAGCAGTCCGTCAACCAACTAATCAAAGGTACAAAAAGACAATGTAGCAGATGTATGATTGATGGGTATGGTTGTGTATACAGTTGAGCACCAATTAGAACCTACACTCCCTTCCATCCAACATACCGAATAGCATCTTTGAGCGAGCAGTGTCTTCGTGTATGAATCGGCCCACCCCTCTGCCCAAGTTGTCACCGAGCAAGCCAGCCCAACCACTCTTATTTACCCTCGTACGGCGACGAGCCTTCCTGTCCATGTGATCTGGCTGATCATGAAGGATTTATAGAGCGCCCCCATCTCTTCAGGAATTATTTAACGTCGCAGTCAGGACGATGATCACAGCCAGATTCACAATGAACTCCCAACCAGAAATATTTATAGACGGTCTGGTGAGCGTCTGTCATGGGCTGGCACACCCGGAGGAACTTCTATCAGCGCAGCAAGTGCCAAACAAGACAGCAGCCATCACATGCGTGTACTACTCCCTGTGGGTTGGCATGGTGACCGTGACCCAAGTGCTTCGACCAGGGCCCTTCAGAGGCACCACCCTTTCTCCTTCCAGTATGCTTCCGGGAAGATTGTCGTCTCTCAAGGTAGCGTGCTCACGATGCCTCACCAAAAGAGAGGACTCTCAAGTTGGACTCACTTCCTCACGGTAAGAAGAGATTGAGAGAGTAGATAAGGTAAGGGAACAACGTACCTGGAGATAGCTGCCCCCAACCACAGATTTCTCACCGATTGAGCTGATGTTGCATCTGATGACCGGTCATGACCTCGGTACCACCCACAACGCAATGCAGTGCCACCTTAGTCCAATGCCACATCAGCATGCTCTCATCACCAATCAAACATTCCGCTGTATCCCACGGCTAATAATGCCGTCAATAGCCTTCCGGTGCACCCCTCTCTACCCAGGGYGTGCACCTAGTGTAGCCTGACGTTACAAGTACCCACTGCGAAGAAGCATCATCAACGCACCAAGTCTGTATAACGCCAGCGTGCCAAAGGTAAGTGGCGATCAAACCAGCTCCGATACCAAATTGCAAGGAACATGARTATKGACGAAGCACAGAAATCCAGAATGCAAAATCACACTRAAGTCCAAGTATTCAAAGCCAAAGCAGATAGCACATGGAACCGAGTAACCATCCCATTGAGAATGATACAGAAGAATCGTGAGTCAATGTCCATTCCCACCAGGGCAACACCAACAGCATAACCCAAATGTAGCTCTCTCTTGTGAATGGCGCCAGGCACCCTATCTACTCTACAGCCTATCCTACAACTACAGCAATGAACAGCAACTAGACAACTTGACTACCAGCGAGTAATGATGTCAACACCAATGCAGATCTCCACCATCACCAGGTACGTGTCCTCTTCCCCACACTCTCCCTTGTTACCCACACAGCGCCCTTCACCTCCGAAGTACCACCTTCGCCCTCACCTCCCCTGCACCCTCATGCGGCCCGGCTATGGCCGCCAGTGCCCTGCACGCAGGCAGCGCCCTACCGCCTAGCGCTGGCCTGCCCTGTCTTAGCGCAGCGCTGCTCTGCATAGTGCTGCACACTTGTATCTGCACAGAGTGCCCGCATATGCCAGCATTGGCCAAGATCCCCGCTGCCTCGCCCTGCTTGCCTATATGCTAGTGCAGCGTGTGGGCGGCCTCCCTTCAGCCTGTGACCAGGGCCCAGAGGCTGAAGCCAACTCGATACAGTTGGGCCCCGGGGCAATGCAGTTGCGCCTCCTTCATCAAGGCCTGCGGCCAGATTCAGACAGTGGGCCGATTTCCCTTTGGCATTTTCGGCCTCTACACCCAACATGCATTGTCGGCCTCACGTTCGAGTGCACAGGGCCTAACTAACTCAGAGGCCCTGGGCATTTCAGCATTTGCTGAAATCCGAGACTCGGTGACTCCAACCAACTGGCGTGCTGCAACTGTATAGACCCCACTTCGTGAAATGTTGGCACAGAGGGCTCTTGTCGATTTGCTGGCCCGCCTTCACTTAGGGCGGGCACTAGGCTTGCTGGGGCCTTAGCCCAGAACATGTACATCATGGCAAGGCCCCTACTTGAGGGCTCAATCCTCACACATGCCGCGTCCGCCTTTGTTTCAATTTTTTTTAAAAAGCGAAGCCGGGCAATGCTCCCCCTATCTGTGTTTTGCCCCGGGGAGCATGTGAGGACCCCGGCCTCCTTGTTATGGGACTTCGGGCCAGGTTCCCAACAGGTGCAGCTCCCCGGAATAGGAATTCTTCAGTAGTTTGTGGCTGTTTTGCTCCCTTTATTTCTGTTTCCGTTTCCTAATTTTTTTGGTTCAGTTTCTTTCTTTCTTTCGAGTTGCAGACCATGGGATGCTGGACCCGGTTTCCAGCGCAAGCTTCACTACCGGTTTGAGATGTTGAGGGATTCCCAGCCTCATTCAATTACTTTTATAATATAAGCTGCGACTTGCACGTTCGATGGTCTCCACCAGTCCCAAAAAGTCCCGAAAAGGCCAAGAAATATCACAGTGCAGCAGAAAGTGTTGCAGATCCTCCATCCGGGCTGCTGGAGCAAGGTCCCACTAGCGAAGCGGGGCAAGGTTCCATGAGCAAGGTTCCATTAGCGAAGTAAGTACGTTCATGTCATCTTCGAGTATAGAATGGGCAAAAAAAACACGCGTCGGCAAAGAAAACCGCGCCGAGTTGGAAAAGGCAATGGAAGTACCGACGGCCGTGGTGTCAGACTGGGTGTCATATTTACAGGGGTCGGTTGTGGTGTCAGAGGGGAAAACAAAAAAAAATAAAAAAAATGCCCAACGGATACTTAAACTTCATACTTTTGGACCGAAATCTCTCATTTTGAGTTCGCACATGCTTTCTTTGCCTACGCGAGTTTTTTGTGCCTTAAGAGTTTCAAAACATGCCACGTTGGTCTCTTTTGATACAGCGATAATGACCGTAGTAAAAGGAGGGGACAGGAGGGATGGGGACGAAGCGGGAAGCCAGCGCTGTAGCACTCTGCTCCCCTGACGCGAGCGGCGGTCTTTAGGTTTAGCCATAGCCATGCGGCCGTGCCGCGTGCATAGCCGCGCGGAGTTTATCCACCATGCCTCGGAGCGCGCAGCACGGGGAAGGGGGGTCTTGCAGTGGTCGAGCTACACAGGATAGCTCGAGCAACAGAGACACTAAGCTTGTCCAGGGCTGAGAAGAGGGAGTGGGCAGGCCCTCTGAGGAGGGGAGGCAGGGAGCACGGGGTTTTCAAACAGGAGCTGCGGAGCAGAACGACAGACAGGTGGGAGCATTGAAGCGACATCAGAAACAAGTCGAACACTTCTGAACCGAAGAACGCTGAACGCGTCCTTCCCATGGAACACTTTGAAACGCAAAGAGAGGAGAGCAAGGATAACATACAAGATCGCGAACGGAGGAGCTTCAAAGGTGCAAGACTCAACTTTGTGGGAGCTAGGTCCTTGTGTAAAAGACGCGCGCGCGCGTGAGAGAGAGAGAGAGAGAGAGAGAGAGAGAGAGAGAGAGAGAGAGAGAGAGAGAGAGAGAGAGAGAGAGAGAGAGAGAG